TTCTACGTAAGCTGCATTTACCAACCACCTCTGTGTCTCTGTCGGTGCTCGCCTGCCTTATCTCAGGGGAATCTGAGAAGAGAACTACTGGCAGAAAATTGAGTGAGGCTTTGTCTTGCAACCCACGTCACTTTTTCCTGTGAAAATCGCTCTATCCCTCTCTGGCAGCTGTCAGCTTTCCTTTAATCGCTTTCTTCTCCTCTGCGCACAGAACTCTATTAATATTATAATGCCATCAAGGTGGGGTGATCCAGTTATTGGTATGCATCCGATACTCAACCAGGGCTATTGTTTTTCAGAAGACCGTGACAAGGCGCAGCCAAGCTAGTAAACTCTATAACCTTATACTTCTCGAGTCTCCCACAGCCCTGTTTGTGCTTAGATGAAAAACACCCCAAGGACTTTTTACCCAAACCCCACCCTCACCTCTTCAATACTCCCGTCATTCCAGCTGAAGATATTAACATTGATCATCACAATACACCACACCCCTGTCTAAAGTCTAAAGCGGTTAAAAAAGCACATTGACAAGTACGGCAGCAGGTTATAATCCATCTCAAATAGGTGGGGCTTTTAGTGATAGGAAATATTCATACAGAGATTTCCTTTTAATAGAAGGGACTTAGTGTCACCTCTGCTGACAGGCACCGTGTCAACAGCGGCTCATTAAAGTGACTCACAGAAGAAGTCAAACTGGATGCAGCGGCATTTGCTGTTGAGCGGCACAGCGTTTTCATCTCGACGATTCTCTCTCTGCTCAGCCTGCACATCGTGCTGCAGTGATTCATATAAGGGGAGGAGGAGAGATCTGTCTGGGCGTCTCCTGCTCGCTCTGTATTTAGTGTTGTTTACATGGCTAGCGGTCACATTTGGATGGTGGAGGTAACAGCTCATGCAACACCTGCCATTGAGCACCTCGGGTCATGTTGACAGTTGTTAGCCCTGATTTGTGTGATGAAAGTGTCAGAGCAAGTGTGATCATTGTTACATAGCTATAAATGTCCAGCTTTGTATGTGTGTACAGAACATACGTGGCTACAGCTGAAGCTCCACCTCACACTGTGTGAATGTGTTTATCTATACATGCGTGTGTGTGAATGTGTGTCTACTATAGGTGACTATGGGTGCTTCTCAAAGTCAAGAGAGGATCCTTAAATAGCTGCAGTTTACGGATGCTGCGTCACTGAATCCTGTCAAAGGACTGCTCGATGTCTAGGAGCCTTCGAATTCAACCAAGGACAGACTCCTTCGTTATGGAATTTTCAAGTATGCATGTGTGTATCCTCAGCACTCTTAGAGCATCCAAAATCCTATGCACATGATGCACTGGTCCTGTCTCCCAATTTGGAAACAAGGTAGATTCGCTGGTAATCTTATAGTTATTTCTCCTCTGCAGTCTGCCAAAATCTCTGGCCCAACTTGTGGCAAGAAACTGACAATGAAGAAATGCCAGTTCTTGGCCATGCATGGCGTGGGTCAAGAGCAACATGATGGCATCTTCGACAGTGCAATATGCGTTTAAATGCAAGTATTTACAGTGCTGTCACGGTAAATTTGTTTGCACTGTAAATGTGTTACATCAAAGCATGTTGAAGCAGCAGTAACAACACATAATATTTATAAAAATAACTTTTTTTTTAAATCATATTCACTCAAACTGTCACGATATCCAGACAGTTGTACATAAAAAAGGTAAACTGTGAAAAATAATTCTGTTACTAGAATCCACCACAGCTTAAGGAAAACAACCAATCAGAGTCACGGAGTCTCAAATGAAGCTGTCAATCGTGTCAACAACTGCGTGTGAACTGTGGTCAAACTGTCAAACTAGGCGGCGCTTACTGAATGTGAGTTAATATTCTTTCACTGCGTTGCCTATTTCTCACCTCAAATGTTTTCAGAAACATATTTTAGTGGACAGTTTAGCTGTAAAATGAGAACATGTGACCTGGGTAGTGAGCGGTACATCGTTTGGCTCGACTGTTTTCAAAATGGCACCCAAATCACAAACTTATTTTCCACTATGCTAAAATATGTGTGTCTAAAAACATTTGAGATGATAAATATGTAATGCAGTAACAGAATCATGAATTATATTTGATCAGCGCTGCCTACAGTAGTACGACACAGTTCAAGAGCAGTGATTGACATGATTGACAGCTACATCAGAGACTCCTCAGCTCTGACTGGTTGTTTTTATTTAGCCATGGAGTCTTGCAGATGCCATTGGATGAACTACAAAGAGGCAGAAGAACTGTCTGGATATAGTGACAGTTTGAGCAAATATGACTAAAAGATTTAATGCAAGTACAAATTGCTATTTATAATTAGCTAGATACCTTGCGGGGTAGGCTAAAGCCTAATTCGCATTACACTATTTTCACCACGATTTTGATGTCACAGAGGATCTTGAGAGCCACCTTGAGTCAGAGGTTAGTCAGCAGATAATCTGCCATGACGAGTCCTCATGTGTGAACAAGCCTACGAGCAAGTCGCCCCCTCGTCTGAGACTGGGACTGGATATCTGGCATGCTAGAAAACTGGAGAAGTGTGACACGAGACGACTGACAAAGAGCATCAGCCAGTGAGAGGCGGGATACGTCCCACGCCAGCACGCAGGAGGACGGAAGAAATGTGAGGACAAGCTGCAGGGTTGCTGCGACTTTGGGCTTGTTTTTTTTGTAAAGTCACTTACAAATATTGGTAGTCGCAGGCTGCGTTTTTTTTTTGGGCTTGTTTCTAAAGTGGAGTTGCTTATTTGGGCTTGCTCTCTAAACGTCGCCTTTCTCTAAATACTATATATAATCGTCACTTCTTTTGGGCTTGTTTCCATAGCCCTGGTTGCTTGTTTCTCTCCCAAAATCTGGCAACACTGACAAGTTGGCAAGCAACAACAACAATAGCGGCGACCACAGGATCACGGGGAGAGTGTTGTGTTTGGACCCAGGCCCTGGCGGCAGATCTGATTCAACACTGGGAAGAATACCCATGCCTTTACGATGTGTCGTCTCCAAGTTAAAAAACGTAGTCTGGTGACGTCACCGTGTTATCTGGGGCTCTGTCGGCGAGGGCTCGGTGGAGAAATCTTGTGGTGTGCACACACAGGTCGTAACGCAGTTGGCGAGACTCCCGATGACAGAAACACTCAACGTCAGGTATGAACACTCAAAAGATGATGATAGTCTCCTCGACGCATTTTGCGGGGTGAAATGTGAACTAGCCTTAACTGAAGCTGTCATGGCACAGGCTGAGTTTGTTAGCTGGCTTGATGTTTTACCATGTACTTTCTGAATTCTAGGAAGGAGCCTCGCCTCTGTACGACCCAACTTGGAAGGACTCCTGGTTCCTTGTTCCTTGACTTGAGAAAGCACCCTGTATTTATCTCCAGACACATCTACATCACTTGATCCCTCACTAAGATAGATAATTCCTAAACTTTCTTCTGATTATTGACTGCATTAAGGCTATGACTTTTTGTCCAAGATTCGAGCTGTCAGAAAGCATGTGAGCGGTCAGCTAAATGACACAAACTTGACAAAAAGAAGTAGCTGGCTTGAAAAGGAACATTTCTAAACAGCTCTGCACTCCCTAACCAAGTTATGAAACTAATATTTTTGCCTAATGAAGGAGTCAGGATCGATTGTGTCCAGCTGTGACCCAGCCAGTTGTTACATGGGCCTCAAAATCTGCCATATGAAGTCGATTCATCCCAGATTACTATCGAGAGGAAGTCTGTGTTTGCAGCTCTAACAAGGAAAGGATGGAGGGCTGGGATGAAGCCATGGAGGGATGCAAGTAGAGGTGGATCACAAGTCAAATGGCTTTGTTTCTCTGCTTCCTTTCACTTCACTAAGCTGATATGATGAAGCCAAACCTCTTGAGAGTATGATCTCTTTTATTCTTCTCCAGCGAAATGATTAAAGGTCTAATTTCATCCAGTCTTGCTTTGTTGTTACCACTTACTTTTTTAAGGTTTTCTAAAACAAGTGTGCTTCACACATCACAGCAGCACAAACAGAGGCATCAAGCTGCTCTGTCACACCAGGAATTTAGTGGGAAATACTGCCACCTGATGGCGTCAGCTGACAATTACGACGTGCTCTGAGATTTCACGGTTGGGGTGATGAATGAAACCATTAGACCCAGGCCAATCCAGGTTCAGAAGTTTATAGCTTTGTAGCTAATGGTCTGCATGAGCAACCGAGAGCCGACTCTATTGAATCTTTGCTTTCAAAGAGACTGGATGAGAAGAAGAGGATTCCCACAGTCCCCTCTTGGTTTTCACTGGAGGATGCTGCCAGTCTTACTGAATATAAAACATGTGAGGAGCTGGTCAGTAATAAGTAAGCAAGTAACTTTATTTATTCAGTGCCTTTCTAGAGCAATCGTGGGAAACTGTTTCACAACTGAATAAAACAAAAGGAATAATAAATACTTCAAACAGTAATCAGAATTATACATACAGAAACAGACACCAGCCAGTCACTAATTCAAGTTTTGTTTTTTTGTTTTATCTCAATGTGAACTATATTATGCATGCAGCCACTGGTTTTCTATGCAGTGTAGTATGAAACTGAACTTGCAGCGAGTTGACGTGCCTGAGATGAATAATTAATCACAGTGAAAACCAATTATTCATTTATGTATTATCATCTTTATGTTATGTTTTGCACATATGTCATTGTCATGTGGTAATGCCATTGCCAGAAGGGACTGTTTTGAAATTTCTGCCTGTTTTCGTTTAAGGATAAGTAGATTTGGATGTTTGTTAATGAAAAAAAAATCTAATTCACATCCTTTTCACAACATCCATGTGTGCTAAACACTCAGTTGTCCTCTGGGACCGATTACCGAAAACAGAGCTCATGAATGTGGCGCAATTCTGAAGCTGGCTCTCAAAACTCTGATGACAACGTATCAGTTAACTAATAACTACCACCTCATATATACAGTAGACTTTACAGATATGAGTGCAATATATTGGTGTTTTTAGAACCGACCTGTTACACAGTAGGGTGTCTCTCCTGTCCAGGTCCCATCGTCCAGGCAAGTGCGCTCTGTTGAACCGTACAGTGTATAGCCTGTACTGCAGGTGAAGCTCAGAGTGTTCCCTTCTAGGTAATGTGTCCCACTCTTTTTCCCATTCCTGGGTGTCTGAAGCCAGCCACAAGACACCACTAAGGAACAAAAATCAACATTAAAACTTCAGGCTTTCTTGACTTAATGTTTTTGATAAATATGCAGATACACGGACAAAGATAACTTTCAAAACTAATGTTTTTACTTCATTAAGCTTTCTTATGTCATGATATTACGGTTGAGTATGGCTAAATTGCAAACCAGATAAACACAGGCTCCTACAGGTCCTGTATGTCTCATATTCATGCATGCTGTTATGAGTGTGACAGCTGAGACAAACATGCTTTATGTAAGTTTTGCCTCATCACTTTGTCATAAGACAGACCCTGAGATATCATCTCTTGGACTCTACTTGTGATCTGGAGCCTAAATTGAATCAACTTTGAACTCACCAGTTATTTTATCTGTATTAAATTGGTTTTAACTTGGTTTGATGTTATCATACAGTGAAGTCAAGAGGGGTCCTCGCGGTCTAAGTCAAGGGTCCACATAATAACTGACTACCTTAGATCTTTCACCATCCTATTCATGGTTTTAGTTTAACAGGTCAGCCTGGAGCCCTGGGAACCAGGTCCAGCAGCCTAAGGGGACAGTGCTGATGTAGTCTAGGGCTGCAACTAACTTTTATTTTCATTGTTGATTAATCTGTCAATATTTTTTCCTTTATTAATGGATTGTAGGGCTGGGCGGTAAGGAGAAAATCAAATATCACCATATTCTTGACCCGATACCTCAATATCCACACTGCAACTTGGTGCTTTCGCAAAACATTTACACTGAGTTTTTATAAATATTCATCAGTAATGTGGATATAATGACTGAGTGGGTAAAGGGAAAACAGTCTGGAAAGTTCAGAAAACAACATCACTTTACTGTAATGCAGTGTTTAAAACCAGGATAAGACAACACTTACAAATGTTCAAAATCTAAGACAATATGAGGGCTGCATCATCAGCGTTGCCAGGTGTACGATAATTATCGTATTTGTACGATAATTTGGCCCTCTGTACGATCAATAATCCCAAAAAAGGCCAAATGTACGATAATTTGTCCATTTCATGAATGTGTGGCTGTAATCAGTATGCCAGAGTTTTTTTGTGAGCCCTGAAGGCATCTGTTCCCATGTGACATGTTTCCAGCCAATCGCACTTTGCTTAGCGTGAGATACGGGTGACATTTGTCTCTGAACAACGAGCACAATTGGCTGAATGGTCAGCTGTACCCGCCCCACGAGGCACTAGGACCCGTCAGGAAGTCGAGCGAGAATGAGATTCAAAACAGAAGAAGAAGAAGAGGAAAAACAGAAGCAAGGAAAATGGAAAAAAAGTAAATCAAAAAAGTAAACACTAGAGTGACTATATTTGCCTATAGCGCATCAGTAGGATTGTTATTTTGGTTATGACGGATGTACGATAATTTCACTCAAAATACGATAATTTTGAGTCTCTGGTACGATAATCCTACATTTCCCACCTGGCAATGCTGTGCATCATATGCAAAAAAAAAAAAAATCATATTGCTATAAATTTGACAAATATTGCAACTGTGATATGCAAAATAAAAAAAATAAAAAAATAAGGATGATGATGATGATGTGATTATTGCTGGGTTCTGTACCAAACAAGTTCCCTTGCGCCTGGAATATGATTTGCAGCCTGGGACATCTCCGTAGTTCTTCATTTACAACGGTGTGTTGTGACACATTTTATCTATAAATGTCTTTAAATAACACCTTTATCAAGAATTTGCAGCTCCTGCGATTTGGATACTGCACTTAGATATATTGGACTTTAGATAATATTTCGATTAATTGTGCAGCCAGAGAAACTATCGAGTCTTACATCACTATTTCAATATAATATTGGTGTACAGGGGTGTCACAGGCCCCAATGAGAGAGAGAGGGGGCCCTTGAAAAGCCTGGAACAAAGTGTGGTTTTGTTTGCAGTTTTTTATTTCTAAATAATTACTGCCACAACTACACTACAGTTGGCTGAATAAATCGGTTTAAAGGCCCCTTTCACGCCTTAAAAGTGTAATGGTTAAGTCCGCCCCTGCAGTGGGAATTGTCTCTACATGCAGCTGGACCTGAGTGAGTAACTGCTTATGCTGCTGGAGCACCAACGTACAGTGTCATGTTTTTCCCTGTGAAAGGGAAATCGGGGTTCCACGTGTAGTTTTTATGGTTCACGTCTAGTATACATTAATATACTTTTTGGCTTTTATTTGTAGTAATCTTATTTTGTGTTTTATATTGTTTGTTTTAGAAGCTGTACATTTTTATTCTGTATTTATGTTATCTATCTGTAATTTATACTGCTGTCTGTCTCGGCCAGGACACTCGTGAAAAAGGGATTTTTAATCACAAGTTTTTCCTGGTTAAGTAAAGGTTAAATAAAAATAAAAATGAATAAATAGAAGAGAGGAAGGGCGGTGGATCCAAAGAGACTGCTTATGCATAAGGCCCAGAATTTGGTGTTAGGCCTGTGAGTCATGCCAATTAAGCCCTACAGCCCTGATGTGGTCCACCCACACCAGTAGATCACAATCCAGTTCTTAGGTGTGGAGATCTACGGCATGACCCTAACCCTGGCCCCTGGCTGATGTGGTCCACTGCAACCCACAACACTCAAGGTTCCCTATCACAGTTTTTGGTGGTGGAGATTTTGTGAAACCACTTCTACTACAGCCTTTACTATGTCAGTGGTGCAGTGGCTTTCTTTCTGTCTCCGCTTCTCTCAGAGACTTCTCTCTGTTCTGCCTGCGTCTTTTCCAACTTTAAAGTCAGCTGTTTTGACCACGGAGACGAGAGTGATGGCTAGTTAGCGTGACCGCAGTATTTTTCCCTGATCCCCCTTAGTCAGCCAAACTGGATCAAATCCTCATGCTTCTCAGGAGGTCGAGAGGCAGCGTCTTATGTTTCAGGATCAAGCTAGAAGTCACTCACATCTCCCTGGTCAAATCACCTGTAAATGCACTGAAACAGCCCAGGATACACATATGACGACGACCGCTTTTCACAACAAGGGGTTATCACAGTGTAAATACATATATGGAATCAAGATTATTTGGATTATAGTCACAGGAAGTATAAAATATGCTAGCTGCGTCCCTTATAAATTAAGAAATGCCACTAAATTTTGAGGGGAAATCACTTTATTTGTTTTGTTGAAAAACAAATCCTGAAAATAAACGTGGAAGAGGCATTTCCAGTGATGCTATGAAATGAGTTGAGCTGCCCGCAAAATATAAAATAAATATGAAACAAGCAACAACAATCATGTATGACTGCGCTTTGGCATTAACAGAAACAAAACAGTGACAAATATATTCCCATGTTTTTGCCTGTGAATCTAAAAGGTGCATCTTGTTTCACATACCTGGCTCCAGGGCTTTCATTTGGGCCTGATGACTTTGGTAGGCCCTGAGTGTGGCGTTTCCCATCGTGAGGCTCCGAGTGGTCAGGGTATCATATTTACAGAATGCTGCTCCTTCCCCAAAGCACATCGTCAACATGTCTCCCACCAGAGGGTCGTCAGGTGTCTCAGGTAGCGAAAAGGCAGGAACAAAAGCAGGATCGTGGCTCGGTGGGAAATAGTAGGTCTCCAAAAGGTACTTTGAGTCGTATGTGAAAAGGGAAGACTTCTTTGAAATGTTCCCTGTGGACAAAAATAGAACACAACACCAGTTAAGATGTGCAGCCATGTTGGATTGCTGGTAGAAAAACAAATTGCAGCGTTTCAGACTGACAATAAATCAAGTGAGATAAATGTCAGTGGTGGTAACTGTGATGTGATGAAGTATTCATAATAACACGCCAAACACCCTCAATTGCATTACAGCTTTTACATCACAAACACACATGCAGTATCTGAAAAGTTCTACGCGATGTCATACAAGCAGAGCACATGTAGGAAAACATTAAAAACATGTATAATGGGTAAACAGAGAGACTGACGAAAAACTCTTTGGGTTTACAACCGATCAGACATGGCTGACCACATTTGTGAGAATTATTGCCAGAGCAGCACATGTTTGACCGATACGAGCACTTGGCTCAAACTACCTATTTTCTAAAACATGGTATTAAAAATACGAGAATATGAGGCACACTATAATTTGGAGATAAGAACACAACTCTGAGGGATCAGAGCGGGACACACACAGCATGCTGTCATGGTTTGCTTTTTGCACGGACTTTGACGCATACAAAAATATCAGCAACAATAAAACTATTAGTTCCCACAAGCTTTAGCTGCGTTTCCACTGCAGCAAATGACTTTAGTCAAAAGGTCAAGAGCATGAAAAGTCAGCTCCTCACCCGTTTTGAGGGATATGTGCTGTAATTAAAGCTGAGAGACATTATTATCATGTATGTATGTATGCGGTCTGGCCCCAACGGCGTTCCAGAGATGTGGTTTCACTTGCACTGTATGGTCGCAGAGCCTGATATCTCTCTGTAATTTATTAAAGCTGCACTAATCTTAAACATGTGCCTTGCTTTCTTCCAGTGCACTCTTAAAACATGTCACAGTTTTAGCCAAACGTGGCTCAAGTATGGCAGTCGTTTATAAGAAACAATGATGTGTAATTGTGAGAAAATCACAGAATCCCTAATCAGCTCTCATCTCTCTATAGATGCAACGTTGTTCTCTCCACAAAATAAAAAATAAAAAATAAGACATTTATGCTGCTTTAGAAAGTTCGACAGCGTCTCACACTCACAGCCAGCTCCAAAGGTGAAGATTTCCTCCGGCGTGGCGTCGCCTGGGGAGATGACCTCTCTGAGCTTGGTCTGCAAGTCGTCTGATGGGTCAGAGTTCATCAGACCGAGGAGACCCTGAGTGTGGTTGGTAAACTCTGTTGGAAGCAGCACTGTCGCCGCCATGGCTCCCTCTTGCACACGAACCTCCACGCCAACACCAGAGAGGAAGATTACAGTGACATTCTGAGGGCTGGGGGCGAACACGAATAATCCTGGAAACGAGACATTGTGTATCATCACTGATTTTATTAAAGATAGTTTAAATCTTTCAAACATGCATGTGGGAAATACACTACAATATACAAACCTTACAGCTTTTACAAAACACAGTGGCAGACAACTAAAATGGGGCACTCTGTAAATGCCTGCGCAGTCAAGGCTACATTAGGACCTAATGACGAGGCAACATTTATCTGTACAAAATCATCTAGGTTACTGTAACTCTTCATAGCCGCCTCCAACTGGTCCAAAATACTGCAGCCAGGGTCCTTACAAGAACATTTCTCCTATTCTTGCCTCATCGCACTGGTTACCTGTGGCGATTAGAATTAGTTTCAAAATTTTATTGCTTGTGTTCAAATATTCGAGTGGCCATTAATGACCTTCTTACCCCTCACACCCCTGCTCGCACTCTCAGATCCACAGACCAGCTATTGTTATCAGTCCCTCGGGCAAGACTTAAGACAGAGGGTAGTCGGGCATTTGCCGTAAGGGCTCCATAACTGTGGAACAACCTCCCACTGGGGATCCGACAAGCCACCTCATTATTTTTCTTTTGTGAGTGTGTGTTTGATTGTTTATTTTACGCTTTCATTAATTTGCTTATCCTCTCATTTTTATTTGTTGTCTTTATCTTTGTCTTTGTCTCTGTTTCTGTTTTCAGCCACACTGAACTACTCAAATCTTGTAATTGCACTTTATATTTTGTTTTTATGTCTGTAAAAATATACAAACTAAGGCTGTGAAGGAAAATAAAGCATCCTGTTTGTTGTGCCTAGTTTGGTCACTAGTGAAAAACCTCATCACAAGAAGTTGCGAATCAAAACTTGAGAATATTACAAAGTAGAGCCGGGTTGATTTCCAGTATTGTCGTGCAGTCCAGTGTAATGTACGAAATTAAACCGGTCTGATTTTGTGCAAACAAGCTTAACCTAATTTGCCATTATGACAAGTTCTGGGAAATTAAAAGTGGTCTAAATCAGCAACTTGCCCTGACGGTGTCACAGCGCTATATCCAACATGTGTTGCATTAGGAAGAAGCAACAATGAGCAACAGGCCGTGAGCCAAGCAAAGCAATGTGAAGGATATCAAATTGTAGTCAAGATCGGAGGGGAGTTGAGCGGCACATGTTTTGTTTGTTTATGTGTTTTTATGAGGTGAGGAGAGGAGACATGGCAGAGTTAGTCTCTGAAGAAAATTAATACTGTGCCAACATTTGAAGCCATTGAAAGAGGTGTCCTAACTGGCCACATGTGATGCAGTGTGCCAGTGCTGGCTGAACTTTTGCCGATCGCCCTGTTTCTATTTATTCCCGCCGCTCATTTTGAAAACGCTGCAATGTACGAGAAATGGAGGATTAATGAAGTTGAAATGGGGAATTATCTATAAGACAAATTCATATTTCATAACTAAAAACTGAAATAAGGTAGCAGCTGGCTGGAGGGAGATTACCAGAGAGTTGAGAGTATCTGGTAAATGGCCATGCTAATAACAAGCTAGGCTACTTGCTGTTGGCTGTACTGTATGTCACTTTCATTTAATATCACAATGTTAAATGTGTGTTTTCTGTTTTACAAGTACAAACATGGGAAGATCGCAAATAGGCTTCTCATCCATTTTTTAAGTAGTTCCAACCTGGTTTGTTTACATGACGTAACAGATGTGCATATTTAGGCCCAACCCTACTATGAAGTAGAAGCTTTTCTTACCTGACCAAGTGATGGGAGCAACAATTTTGAAACTGGACCAGTGAGGAATAAGAGTGCTGCATCTAACAGCTGCAAAGTTCTTCTTTTTTGCCAATGACAGGCTCAGATTGTTTTTGTAAGTGTCAGACAACATTATGGAAAGGATCCCTACAGAGAAATAAAATGTCTTTCTTTACCTTTTAATTGCTTTTAAGTATTTGAATGCTTCAGTGGCTATTTTTACACCTAGCACAGGGTCAGCAGTTGAAAATTAGCCTAACACTGGCACATTTACAGCAATGTTTATTGTCCCTGTAAAAATAAAATCAGAAATAATAAAAATGAATAAATAAATAAAGCCTTTGGCTTGACCCGGTCTATTTGTTATTGTGTGTGACCAAGTCTAGCTCAAAGAGAAGTTTTGATGTCTCGTGATTTGAGTTGTTGCAAGAAGACACTAACAAACAAGCCGGATCAAATGAGAGGTAATGAGTTTTTTCATAATGTTACCAGACACTTGTAATAACATTTTGAGCCTGACAGTGAAAAAAATACAAACATTTTTAGTAGATGTAAATTTCTGGCTGCCGCTCTCTCTCAAACTGTTGCCTCCCTTCATCACTTGGACACAAAATCACCACGTTGAAAAGTAACTAAGTCCCTTTAACTTTACCAGAAAAAAACTGGTGAAAAGTGACAGAACAGCATCTAGTGTGCAGCTGGTCTGGAGTGTTTGAATCATCTCACCGTGTAGGTCCATCCATCTTTGCTCAGTGAACGGTAGGACCTTCTGATTCCTCAGCACCTGGAGATGGCCTTCTGCCAGACGCACCTCGATGACATCAGAGGTCTTCTCCTTCATAGCCACAGATGACAGCCATGTGGCTCTGGCCAAGGTACCTTAGTTGTCAATACAAACATCACATTTTTACAAACATGTAGTTATGTTATTATGTAGCATGTATTTTTAACTTAAAAATGGTTTTATCTGCTAAAGTCTCTGCATTATTTAATAATCCAGATGTTTGATTTTACTGATCTATTGAGGAGAATATCACTCTGGCCATCTACAGCCACATGGCCCATGGCTGTTGTGTAATAGCTTGGAGGAAATTCTGAACAATGTTGCGAACATCTGTTCCTTCTTACCACATCCGAACAGAGATACTGAGCGAAAACAAAAGGGAACTAAGGAAATAAGCTTTTATTTTACAGCGCCAACATGTTTCTCTCACATGAGGACCTGACATCACTTTCTCTGAGCTCTGTTGAAGATAAGAGGGAGCCTTAAACGCTCCTTAAGATAGAGAGCGCAAGCAAAAAACAACAAACAAAATTCAGCAAGAAATACCGAGGTCATTATGTCTGAGCAAACTCTAGAGGTGGGCAATTAATCTTGTGGCTGATAAAACATGTCTCTCTAAAGTCCTGGCACAAGTTTCACCTGAACAAAGCTGCTACAGTAGTAACATGGGGATGAAAGAGGGGAAACAGTCGGAGCTTTCACTTCAAATGTGGACTCACCGTTCTCAAGTTTCACCTGTTCTGTTCTGGCCTGAACACTCAGCTCTCTGTCTGGAGAAGACACGAGGTAGTACTCTCCTTTGCCGTTGAAAGTGTAGCTTAGGCCGTCGAACGTTATGAAATGTGGATCCCCGAGGACGACACCTGTGAGGCGTCAAGAAACAAATCACTGATGCGTTTACATCAAACACACATTTTGGCTCCAACGTATTTATTTCGAGTAGTACACCCCCGAACTCTCATTCTCACATCAGTATGTGGCGTATTGTTGCGTTTATAGTCTCTGCAGAGTATGATCTAATAAAGCTCCACATCTCAACTCTCAGCCGCAGTCTGTAATTCATTTACTCCTCCTGCAAACTGATCTGGTATTACCTGCTACTCTAACGTCCATTTGCAGAGTGGAATATGTGTGTGTGTAGCCACGCAGATTAACGATTGCTTGCAGTCTGTGAAGTACTTTTTGCAGTCTCACTTTTACCCCAAATTCAGCCAACAAAACCAGGACCAGGACTCTATATTCACTTTTAAACAAGTTTAGCGATACAAGATCTTATTCTATCCAAAATCATTATGACATACAAACAAATTTAAGTCACAAAATCAATTTGACTTTAAAGGGACGTTCACCACCAGATCAAAAATACATATTTCTCCTCTTACCTGTAGTGCTTTTTATCAATGTAGATTGTGTTGGTGTGAGTTGCTGAGTGTTGGAGATATCAGCCTTCTCTTTAATATAATGGAACTAGATGGCACTCGGCTTGTGGTGCTCAAAGCACACAAAAACACATTTGAAAACTATGTGTTTTTCCAGAAAACATGACCTAGTTACTCAAGATAATCCACAGGCTTTGCTGTGAGCAGAATCATGCAAGAACTATTTTCTTTCTGGCGAACTACACCCGCCAACCATATCACCCCTCAGCTGCAGCCAGGGATGTAAACATTAAAGGCGTCCTCCTCGGTTGAGCTGTAACGTTTGCTAGCTCAGTGGTGCTAGGTGAGCTAACAGTTAATGCATGCCTCCTTCTGCACAGTGATAGGCAGAGGTGGGGGATTTGAGTCGCATTACTTGACTTGAGTCCAACTTGCGTCACAAATTTGAGGACTTGCTTGACTAACACTGATGAAAGACTCGACTTGACTTTGACTTGAGACAGATGACTTAAAGTTACAATGTGTAATTTACGTGGTTGTTTATTAGCAAATATCAACTATTGCTTTCATAAATATATATTTACTAAAGTGTAATGCAATTCACATACAAATGGAAGCTTTCTCTTAGGCTTAGAATGATTTCTCTATATATACACAGGCAGGGCGCGGTCTGCTGGAGGCTGCCTTCTTGCGTCGCCATATTTGAATACAGTCGCTGAAAGGGATATACGTGCTTCGCCTTTCGCGTTTACCTAGAACTTGCCGTCACTGGAGACGGTTAAGGTGAAGATCAGTCCGGGGCACTTCTGCGTGAACCTACTTTGTACTTTTATGATTCTGTCGCACTTTAAATGGAGGACCACACCTATGTTTTGCCCCGTAAGAGGGAAACCACGCCACCAAATAAAAGAAAAAGATCAGATAAGCGAGGACGAGTGAATATCGGCGTTGCTTATTCCAGGTGGAAAGAACTCCTGAAGGAGAAGGATTTCACAAGGGATGTGGAGGTTGCCTGCTTTCTGCTAGACAGGTAATTCAATCTGATATTTTAAAATCATTTTGGCTTCATGTTTGCAACTACTTTTACCTCTCGTCTAAGTTCGAGTGACGGCTACGTTTACGTGCTAACGTTATCCTAGCCTTGGCTAACGCTATCCCAGAGCTACAGCTAAATGGTTAGCCTAGCCTACAGCCTAATCTGTTGATTTCTCTCATACTGGTGCGAAGGCTGCCACCCTCTCCTCCTCCTCCTCTTCCCTCTGGGTTGCCAAGACACATCTCTTCGCCTGGCCGTTCCTGCACCGCCTCTACCCCCTCGCCCCCTTCCTCTCCCTGGTCTTCGATTTGGGGGTGAACTGTCCCTTTAAGACATAAGACAAAATCTTTTTACCCTTTCTTCAATACAGGTGAAAACCTTCCATTTGTTTTCTTTTCAGATAATCATATTGACTGAAATAATAAGCCTCAAACCTTAACAATAAAGGTAGCTGAGCATCTAATGAACCAGAAGTCTGAGTTCAGATTCAAATAAACTGGTTAGTTAGCTCTTACTGTGCTGTGGTACTGTCACTGTGCCTGATTATAAGTTGTCATTCTCTTGTGCTCTGAGAGCAATCAATAAATACACTTGATCTGACTTATGAACAGTCTCACCAGCTCTTGGGGGCTGGTAGTTGCGACACCCGCTAGAAGGTCGATGGTTTAGGTAGACGTGGCAGTGGTCAGACCAAAGACAGCAGTAGTAGAAACTCATGACATCATAAAGCCAGTGGGAGTACCCCGGCACCCGTGGTGGCTCCCTGTATGGAGGTGATCCCCAGTCGTGAGCCCTGTCTGGTGTGCTGCCACCAGACGAGTCTGCTGTCAGGACCAAAGCGCCTGCGCTGTCATAGCAACACTGCTGCCCCGATCCATGTGTAGGGCTGGAAATATCAGAAGAAAGTCATGTCAAGAAGTGAACAGAATGCTTCTAGTGTGACTTTTTAAAAAGGCAAAATCTCGATCTGTCCTCTTGTCACTCCTACCTGGCCTGAATTGCTCTGACGCAGTGGACACTACCTGGGTGATAAGTGCACACACTGCCCCTCTCAATGTCACAACTATAGTCAGTCTGAAACAACACAGCAGATACAAATCAGTAAAATAATAAATGTGATTTAATATGATGATTTGGCAATAAATCCATTTAACTTTGAGAATCAATACTTCTGTATCAGTGTGGATCCTGCTGACGTTAACAGAACTCTAATAAAGTGAGTTCCCTTAACGCTGATCACATAAAATGATTAACAAAAGCATGTTAGTTAATCCTGACAGTCTTTGTTTCCTTTTCATTACAGGGATGAACAGATGAAATGCAATTATTCACACTATGGGACTAAATCACTGCAGTGCTTTCTTCTACTTCCTGAAACTCAGGCTAACTACGCACATTGCTCTTACAAATTTCAGTGCCCTTGTGTGTCATCCAAGTACTGCTTTGGGGAGAGGGGCTTTAAAAGCTATTGGACCTAAACATTAAGTACAAATTATAACAAGATCTGTGCATAAGCTACAATTCTTCTTCTTCCTAATCTCTGTGAAGTCATGTTTATAATAACAATCACTTCTGGGTAGACAACTGGCAATCCATTTCAATTGTAGAGATATGTAAAATGCGCAAACGTGTAAATTTCTGTTGTCATTTTCAGCCATAACTGTAACGTTTGAAGATATATACTTAAACATACTGGTTGTCCCTGCTTATCTAAGACAAAGGTGGGCTTAAACTGATATTGACTTTTTGTTGGACCTTTTTTAGGATGATTAAAAACTAATCAACTGAGGCAGCACTTGCTCTGTGCCGTTTGATTTATGTATGTGACGCTATGGTGTTCGACTATCTTTATATTGCTTGAAAATTCTTTTTTTTTTTTTTTTATTATTTTCTGTAATTGTTTTTTAATATTTGCTTGAGTCACCACACCCAGATCTTTCTGTTCTCTGCCGTTGTCAGAATATTAACTGAAGTGCTAAAGCACACTGCTGTTAATTAATTACAGTTTGTAATTCAGTTACGGAAAGCAGTTTTTCTGTATACACTGATTATAGTAATAATGATGTTATAATGGCTGCTATAGCTACAATTATGACCACTTCTTCAAGTGAAAAACTACAATAGCAAATCATTAAAAGACTAGAGTCATTGAAATGCACTCACATGAAACCTGCCTGTGTCTGCTCGGGCCTGTGCCAGAGTGCAAGGACAGTCAATGAGCTCATCCAGGAAGTTGGGCAGCGTCGTCTCCAGGACGTCCCACTGCAGACACTTGTTCTCGGCCCAGGCTGCAGAGTCGTCTCTGAAAGCCTGCTCCAGGTGCCAGGCTAAGATATGACCTCCACTCCAGAGCGCCTGTACATCCCTGTGTATAAACAATTACCGATCACAAGTTACTTCCACATATTTGATATTTTTTCTTCAACATAAACTTAATTGATCGTTCAGTCAATAAAATGTCACCAGCAAATGTTTGCCTTCTTTGTTTGCAATAAATCAAATAACAAAAATGTTTGTTTTCTGTCACCATTTAGTCAATGAATACTTTCAGCTGCCTACAGTCTGACCAGTACTGTTGATACTGGACTCTGGAATCAATGCGACAATCATACTCATTAAATCCTGATTATGCTGGCTATTACTGTCATTAGGCGAGGTGGGGCACATTAAATTTTACAGCCAGGCTTATGTGACAATCTGATGAGCAAATCCGAGCCACCTTTCATATGAGTAAAAAACACTGACACTTGATACACTAAATATACTTTAAAACCATGTGCAAAAACAGTCCAGTCTAACATTACACCACTTTGTAACAGCTGTAAAATGAACAGCACTTCAGTTAACCTGCAGTTTTTCCTGGTTTCAGCCAAATATTCAATTCAGTTTTTATTTATGTAGCCCAACAGCGTGAATCACAATTTGCCTGCGAGGACAAAGACAAGCCCCCCAGAACACCCTTTAATGGGGAAACGATGGAAGAATATCAGCATAAAGAGAATATTTCCTTTCGATCTGGACTATTTCTAAGACGCCTGATGTAATATGGATACCTTGCTCCATCCAACTCAGAACTGGCAGTGATGCGGATATTCCCCAACACCCAGCCAGAGAAGTCCTTCGAGGGCTCTGGAATGAAGCTGAAGGCACCCGTGTTGGACAGACTCCTCCCGAGAGAGTACAGATAGCTCAGCTCGGCCTGCAGAGAGGATGATCCAGTCGCCTCTGTGCTCCTGCTGAACTCTCTGTAACCCCACAGCTCTATGTTGACCTTCTCAGCGCTGATCAAAGAGCTGTTCCATGTCATCTGAAGCCGTCCTGCCATGTTTGGTGTACCGTAGTTCAACCACTGCGTTGTATTCACCAGGATGACTTTGGAGTCATCCTCCGCTTTACTGGGGTTAACTAATACAGTGAAAGACAGAAAATATTAAAAGGGACGCACAGGTAACCAGTTTTGGTTATGAATGAAAGAATGGGTAGTGAAAACTCTTTATGAAGCAGTTGCATAAATAGTTATTGTCTTCTTAACAGTAATAATAACTGCAAAATGTGTCTGTGTCATTTAATCTTTCTCCAGTAGCCCCACTACATATTTTGTGAAATTATGAGAACCAGTCCATACCCACTGGTAGCTTTGTCACCTTCTACCTATGCCAATCCTCAATGCCTATGTGCAGTTTCACATAGATTGACCACGTCAGTGAGTAGAAAAACGTGGGACAGACAGAATGACTGACTGACAGAATGACACACTGACAGTTTCCGTGATTATGTACAGCATACCATACCATGACTTAGTCATACCAAAAATTAGTAAAAAAAAACCCAACAACATTGGTCCACAGGGGGAGCCACAGCGATCGGTCGCATTTTAGCCATTTTTAAGCATTTTTCTGTTGTTATAGCGCCACCCAGTTGCCAATTAGAGTTAAATTTCTCCAGTTACCTTGAGACGTCCTGTTCTACATATCTACCAAGTTTAGTAAAAATCCATATGGCGGTTAGGCCTAGATAAGAAATTAGCTCTCTAGCGCCCCCATTTTGTTTGATGGGGTCAATAATGGAGGGGTCCCCTCAGATTATGTGTGGTCATATGCCTACAAAGTTGCGTGGTGATGGGTGAAACCCTTGAGATGTTATATACGTTTATGTGATGAGCCACGCCCTCCACAATATTCATTGCCTTATAGAAGCTCAGTTTTAGTAAGTTTTCCAACTTTTGCCAAGAGGGATCTTTAGATATTGGTCCCTAGATTATGTTCACCCAGTTTCATGCAGATCGCTCAAACTTCCTAGGAAGACATCGATTTTAAGTGTTTTTTTTTTAAAAAATTCAAAATGGCAGAAAATCTATATAAGCGGAAGTTATGGGTTCTTGAGGCAAATGTGTTCCTCATGAGGAGAGGCATCTCTGTGCAAAGTTTCATGTCTCTACGACATACGGGCATGAGATATGCCCATTCAAAGTTTACAATTTCAATTGGTTGCCATAGCGCCCCCCTTTGGCCAACTGATGTAATATTGCTTCATTCGCATCCTCCCATGACCCTCTACCACTGTGCCAAATTTCACATGGATTGACCAAGTCAGTGAGGAGGAAAACGTGGAACAGACACACACACACAGCCACAGACAGAGTTTTCGTCATTATATAGTAAGATATATCTTGTCAAGAAAAATGGCAAAACCAAAAAGCCAAAACTGAAATACTAAATTAACAAAAGTTTTTGTTTTTTTTTTGCTTTTTAAATTGCATTTTATCAATACATTTTCACTGACCCTAAACCAGTAAAGTGTGCAATGGATTTCAAATCAGACAAATCAAATGACAGGGCACATACCTGACAAGTACTCTCCAGATCTGTCAAAATGTATTCCATCTGTTGAGACAGTAAATGGTATCCACCCCGTCTCGTACAGGAGAGGAGAGATACAGTAGCCGTGGCCGTCGGCGTCAATAAATCCCTCTCGTTCAATCTCACCTTTGAATCTGCGACAGGAACAGACAAATTTAATTACTTTTTTTGTTTTTTGGCTAGCTACACAACACTACTACATCATTCCTGGTATTATTTCTCCTTCTGCAAACATTGGCACGCTCTGGTAAGAAGAATAACAACATAACACTTGAAAACACTTGGAAACTTCCATTATTTTTCAAAAACCCATAACATGTTTTTATTGCCCCACTTGCCCGGTGTTTCTCAAGCATATCAGATTCCAAATTTATTTAAACATAATTTCAGTCTGCTGGCATATATAAGAATTCCATGACTTTTCCAGGTTTTCCATGACTGTGGGAACACTGATTACAGAAAACAGGAGATGAAGCTACCTATCTGGCCCAACCAAAGGCCCTTTAAGTATGGTGTCACATTAGCAAGCTAGAATTAATGTGGTCAAGACTAAAGATTGACACAATCTAAAAACTGAGCCAGGTTCTCTTGATGCTACCATGCTGAAACTGTGGAAAACGTAAAATATCTCGTTACGGTTCTGGACTACCAGGTGAGGTTCTCCGGAAATTCAGAGTATATTTTTAAGAGATGCTCGCAGCAAATCGATCTTCGTAGGAAACTTAGTGGTCGTGATGTTAGCCAGCTGATTTTAGAACTAGTCTACAAAACTATGGTTGAGAATGTCTAACTTTTCACCTTCCTGCCTGGTACAGTCATCTACAAACTGTACATCTAAGAATAAACTTTCTAGCATTTTATTAATGGAAAGTGAAATAGTTGGCCTTTGACAAACTCTTTACTGAGAAGACGAAGAAGAAAGCAGGGAGCATCTAAGCAGATAGCGCCCATCCTCTCCACAGCCAGTTTGAGCTCTTGGGCACCAGGAGGAGCTACAGAGCTGCTCTGGCAACTAAAAATGTATTCAAGATGTCCTTCAACCCAAGTGCCATCAATAATCTAAACCCAATGAAGTGATCAATGGGTTTTAAGCCACAGACATGCACTGACATGAACTGATTTAATGTATAAAATGATTCTAATGTCTGTTTTACTAACTGCTCGTCTGTTTTTTATTATGATTGTCTCCCATGTTTGAAGGGCTGAAGACAAATTTCCAACCTGGTGGACAACAAAGATCTATTCTATTCCTAATACAGGAAAAAATTAAGGAGGCATAGAGCTTGCATGAGAAGCATATTGTCCACTGAAGTTGCACCACATCCTGTCCGGTACCATTTCAACATTAACTTGTACTGTGACACTTCCTCAATGAAAGAGAGACCGACATGTTTTGAACAAGAGTGTTTGTTCAGTGTTACAAAGTTTGCCCAGATTCTGCAAAAGATTCAGCTCCTTTTTGTTTTTTGGATAGTTTGGAATTTTTTTTTATTATTTTGTATAATTGTTTTAAATACACTAATACAAATAAAAATATATGCTTCGGGTAAACTTTGTCTTTTTTTCCTGTAAGCATTTTTTTATTCTGAGGATTACTGTCTGCCTTGTCTGAAGAGAATAAAATGTTTGGAATGTGGACACAAGTGCAGTTACCAAATACTTTATTGGATAGTACCAAAGTAGATCTACTGCAAATATGTGCTTTAAAAAGAGACAACATAATGGGGACTATGTACTGTATATATATATTCCACGTTGTGAATTTGTAATTTAAATAATCCCATGACAAGTGTATGGAAGTTTTAGATCATGATGTGAGTCAAAAGTCGCAGACACAAACCTGCAGAGAAGGCGCCCACCAGGCTGAAGGACCATGTTGAGGATCCTGAGAGCTCTTCCACCCAGCATGGAGCTGGAGTGAGGCGTCACCTGTAAACATGACTGGTTGTAGTCTGCACAGCAGGTCAGCAAAGACACACAGGTTGCATGGCAGGAGCATTCCTCCAATACATCTCCACACTTCCCCCTGCATGTTTGACCTAGGAAGAAAACAATAACAAATGAAGCATAGCGGAAGATCAAGCAGATTTTGCCACAATCTCCACGACAATCACATCAAATTTAAAACCGTTCTTTCTCTGCTGCTGTAAGTTGTCATTTCAGGATGAACAGATGCAACCATGCTGCACATTCACCGCCCACTCCTGCTCCTCATCCCATCATCCTCATCCTTCATCCATCCCTCTCGTCACCTCCAACACCAGTGTCTAGACTCCATCAGGGGGAATATTCCCAAACTAACCATGGCATCTCTACCAGGGTTGGAAATTAACTTTTTTGTCCCATGGCCACTGTGGCAGGGGGATTCTGAAATTTACCAGTCACTCAATGGATTACCATTGTTTTTTTTGGCTGGTGAGTGAAGAAAATCTGGCAGCCACTTGCATATTTTACCAGCACTTCGCTAGTAGTTGGTGCGAGGGTCCTAAGGACAGCGTATGCTGTAAAGCCCTGTGAGGCAAATTGTGATTTGTGATATTGGGCTTTATAAATAAAATTGATTGATTGATTGATTGATTGACTAGTTTGTTTTATAAATCATTAATCCATTCATCAGTTCAGTCATTAAGTTATTAAATCATTTATGTAACCTATGGCCATTCATTAAAAAAAACTAACTTTTCTGACATGCTATACATGCTGCATGTGCCCTTTGTACCATATTGTCTGTGTGCTAGGGTGTGTTAAACAATCATGGCTTATTCTGTACAAGTTACAAAAATAATAAAAATGTATTATGTAATACATAATATGACAGGGTGGCAAACCATAGCAAAAGTCGTGATTCTATAGCACCTGGTAGTCTAAAAACATGCTGGTTTCACTTTAGAAAAATGTCCCATTTTACCTGAATGCATTAAGCACTCACTCGAAACTCTTTCCCATAAAAACTTGAAATATTTTTGATTATAAGTCAAACATTTTATATCCTAGAACCATTTTTGTTATCATACTCTTATTGTTTGAGCAGCAGCATTCTTATTACCAAAATGAGAAAATCAACACGCCACATGTCCAGTGATTTTATTAATCTTTGCTCAGACCTATAAGAAATTATTGTTTCATGTAAAGTACACTTCTAGGAACAATGCTATAACATGTTGGTCGACTGGCTGCTTATATTCAAAGAGCCCAAGATGTAAAACTTGACTTGCCCCATTTTACCTGATGTCCCAAACTACCTGATTTCACCCTACCTCTCATTTCTACTTGGATTACTGGTGTTTAAATGTACTTAGCTACTTCCACCACTGGATATAATACAAAATTCAAACAAGTTATAAGAATCCACAATTTGTAACACCTATGCAAAGGTGGAATTAGTAATGGCCATTTGAATTTCAGCTCATAGTAATCTTTATTGCTGGTCTGAGTGACTTACCTGCTACTTCAGATGAGCAAATAAGAAAAAATCCACAGAGAAAAATGATATCACTCAAGTGGGCTCTCATGTTTATCTTAGAGGACAAAATAACACTGCGTGCACACACATACCTGCCCTGCACCATGCTCGGTTAAAAGCCTGGCACTGACATTTTCAGTGTAAAGGTCAGTAAAGCAGCAAACAAATGGCGTCATGAGCGTGTCCCATAAAGTTATGCAGTTATAAATTAACAGACGTTAATTTAACGAAGGTCGGTAAGTTTAAAAACATGTTTTTTCTTCGGGCGTGCCAACACGCGATATTTATACCTCACAATACGCACACTATCATTTCTTATAATTTTGCTTTAAGTAATTTCTGCTGGGATTCTTAACTTTACCGTTAACGGGAACGCCTTTTTGTTTATCACGTTGACATACTCAACTCTCGCGAGATATTGCGGCATTTGAATTTTGCGCATGCGCAAAACATGTTACTCCACATACTCACAAATAACTCAAAATTAATAGGGAGCTGGATCGTCAAAATAAGTAAAATAAGTGTCTCCTGTTGTGTTCACTTCGTCCTGGATCAGTTCCGCCACATTCAACGCGACAGGAACAGTAATGGCGGAGAAGAAGGGGGAAAATTGTCGTATTTTGTAGTCAACTGGCAAGCTAACAAGCTAGCTGACGTTAGCTCCAGGCTCACAGCAGCATCAGCACTGTAGCTGCTTTAATACAAGATAGGAAGATGTACGTTCTCTACACAATTATCGCATCTTTAGTTTCTTTTTTCGTTTTGAAATGGATGAAAAAGAGGAGGTATTGCACGGACCTGAAAAGACTTGATGGCAAAACAGTTCTTATTACAGGTAAGTAAACATCTCTTGTCTATTGCAGCAAATATCTACCTTCAGTAACCTGCAAGTAGTTGACGTCTAGCAAGTTTGTTTGTGGAGTCTATACACTCACCGGCCACTTTATTAGGTAGACTTTGCTAGTGCTGGGTTGGACCCCTTTTGCCTTCAGAACTGCTTTGATTCTCGGTGTCACAGATTCAACAAGGTGCTGGAAACATTCCTCAGAGATGTTGGTCCATATTGACATGATGACATCACACAGTTGCTGCAGATTTGTCGGCTGCACATCCATGATGAGAATCTCCCGTTCCACCACATCCCAAAGGTGCTCTATTGGACTGAGATCTGGGGACTGTGGAGGCCATTGGAGTACAGTGAACTCATTGCCATGTTCAAGAAACCAGTTTGAGATGATTTGAGCTTTGTGACATGGTGCGTTATCCTGCTGGAAGTAGCCATCAGAAGATAGGTATGCTGTGGTCATAAAGGGACGGACACGGTCAGCAACAATACTCAGGTAGGCTGTGGTGTTTAAACCATGCTCAGTTGGTACTAAGAAAATCCCCCCCACACCATTACACCACCACCAGCAGCCTGAAGCGTTGATACAAGGCAGGATGGATCCATGACGCCAAATTCTGACCCTACCATCTGAATGTGGCAGCAGAAATCCAGACTCATCAGACCAGGCAACGTTTTTCCAATCTTCTATTGTCCAGTTTTGGTGAGCCTGTGTGAATTGTAGCCTCAGTTTCCTGTTGTTAGCTGACAGGAGTGGCATCTGGTGTGGTCTTCTGCTGCTGTAGCCCATCTGCTTCAAGGTTGGACGTGTTGTTGGTTCAGGGATGGTCTTCTGCAGACCTTGGTTGGAACCAGTGGTTATTTGACATTTCCTGTTGCCTTTCTATCATCTTGAACCAGTCTGGCCATTCTCCTCTGACCTCTGGCATCAACAAGGCATTTTGCTCACTGGATATTTTGTCTTTTTGGGACCATCCTCTGTAAACCCTAGAGATGGTTGTGTGTTAAAATCCCCGTAGATCAGCAGTTTCTGAAATACTCAGACCAGCCCGTCTGGCACCAACAACCATGCCACGTTCAGAGTCACTTAAATCACCTTTCTTCCTCATTCTGATGCTCAGTTTGAACCTCAGCAGGTCGTCTTGACCATATCTACATGCCTAAATGCATTGAGTTGCTGCCATGTGATTGGCTGATTGGCTATTTGCTGTAACAGGCAGTTGGACAGGTGTACCTAATAAAGTGGCCAGTGAGTGTATATTAACATCAGTGTGGTTTGAATTGCTGAATGTCTACCCCAAACATAATGAATAAAATAATAATAATAATAATAATAATAATAATAATAATAATAATAAAAATTCTTATTATAGCAAATAATCTTATTTCCATCCTCGTGCAGGCACAATCCTCCCATGAACACATGATTTTATCATTTCGTTTCTGTTTTTTCTATGCAGGTGGGAATTCTGGCATTGGCAAGGAGTCAGCTGTTGCTTTGGCAATGAGAGGCGCCCGTGTCATCATCGCTTGCAGAGACCTGGACAAGGCTGAGAAGGCTGTGAGGGAGATCAAGTTCAAAAGTCACAGCCTTAATGTCCTTCACATGGAGCTGGATCTGGCCAACCTGCGCTCTGTGAGGGAATTCTGTAAGAGCTTCCTACAGAAAGAGAAGAGGCTTGACATCCTGATTAATAATGCTGGTGAGGGTGTCACCCACATGATGATTGGCCAAATGTTACAACATTGCATCTAAGATTTGTTGAGTTTTTCCTTGTAGAGGGTCTCAGCATAGAGGGTGCTGTATACTGTAGAGATTGTGCCGTTTTAATATCAGCTAAAAGCCTTTTCCTACTTTCTCCACCTCATCGTTTTGACTTCTCTCTTCACCTCCTATGGCGCGTCCTCAGGCATGCCCAGTGTCCTCGACTGGACGGACGACGGCTTCAGCATGTGTTTTGGCGTCAACCACTTGGGTCACTTCCTCCTAACCAATCTACTTCTGCCGCGCCTGAAGGAATGCGCACCCAGCCGGGTGCTCACCCTCACATGCTCCAGCTACAAATACCAGAAGCTGGACTTCCAGGACCTCAACTACAACCTGCTGCCCTTCTTCACCTATTGCCGCAGCAAGCTGGCTAACATCTACTTCAGTCAGGAAGTGGCCCGTATCACTGAAGGGAAAGGAGTGACGTCCTATGCTGTGCACCCTGGTAAGAGATGCTGATTTGTATGCTGTATGTGATGCCTAGCTTTGATTGCATGTGCACACTCTTTCCTACAAAAGCCTACAAAACACATATAGAGCAATAATGTCAGCAGATAACTATGACTTAAATCAAGATATAAAATGACTCATGCCAAGCTATAAGATTTGATTCTTATTGCTCACCCCAAACATACAGTTTGTATAGTCCTGACACTGTTTATACATAGATGTATATTTCTCCCAACATCTCTGCCTCCATGTGTCTCTCCAGGTTTTGTCCAAAGTAGCTGGACGTGCCACTTCTCCATCCTGTTCCGGATGCTGATGCAGGTCGTCATGTGGATGTTTTTTGTGCCATGTGAGATTGGAGCTCAGACTGTCATCTACTGTGCCGTGTCAGATGAAGCTGCCAAACACAGCGGGGGTTACTTCGTCGACTGTCGACCAGCTACTCTGCGTCCTTTCGCAAGAGACGCTGGTGTGGCAAAAAAACTGTGGGAGGCCAGTGAGAGACTGGTGAAACTGGCCTGATGGTGGAAGCTGGCGGAACCGATTATTGAGTTATTTATGGTCATGTATGTTGTTTTTAAATATTTATGTTTTTATTCACATTTTTGTTGTTTACCATGCAGATGTTAAGATTTCTTTTTCTTCTATGTGCTTGTGTATTCTAAGAGGAAATGTTTTGCACAAATAAAAGACTTAACTGTGTTTTTCACTGTCTTGGGAGAGTACATTGCCATTTAATGATATATTTATTTAATGTTCCAAACACTAGTTATATAACAAAATTGACTTTTTTCCCCTCCAAAACATGATTTCACTTCATAATGTTCATGAAACATGCAGATGCTTGCTCTGAGCACACCAAATATCAGATGAAGTGAGTCCTACTGTTCTTATCCACTTTTAACTTTAATATTTGGTATGTCCACCTTTTGCAGCAATTACAGCAGCACATTTCTCTGGCATAGTGTCAGTATATTTCCTATTAACAACACTAATGTTATCCCATGCCTTGTGCAACTCAAGCCAAAGGATGTACAATAGATCTGTCCAGTTTATTTTCCAACTCACCCGAAATTTGCTTGATGGGGTTGAGATCCAGACTTTGAGGAGGCCAGTCCATCATTTTAAATGTTCCAGCAGATTCCTTCTGTCACAGGTAGTTCCGGCAATAGTTAGAAGAATGTTTCGGGTCATTGTCCTCTTGGAAAATAAATCCAGGCACAAGAAGACGACTCCTGGACTCCATATTTCACTAAGTCACCTGTTCCTAAAGCTGGAATGGCACCCCACACCATAATACCACCCCCTCCGTGTTTAACTGTCGGCAAGAGACACTCATTTTTATATCTCTCCCCCTCCCTCCATCGAACGTACATTCTTCGCTTGTTGCCAAACTGTTCAAATCTGGACTCATCAGTCAGATGTCAGAAACACTTCATACCAATCTTCCTTTGTCCATTTCTTGTGTTCTTTTGCAAATTTCACTCTATTTTTCACTTTCAGTACTGGTTTCTTTGCCAACAGGTCTTCTCCCAGTTTCCAACGCATAGTTCTTGAAGACACTGTTGCACCATCACTCATTGTGGTGTTGATCTCGTCACACAGTTCTCGTTTGGTCCTTAAGACTGAGAATTTTGAGATGCTTCACTTGTCTGTCTGAAGGTTTCTTTTTTCTACCTCTCCTCTGTCAGTCCTGGTGTGAATTGGTGGCATCATGGCGAACTTGAGTGTACTTTACAGTGCTTGGACTGCATCTCAAGTCCTTGGCTATGCAGCAGTAACTGCAGCCAGCATCAAAAAGGGCCTTGATTTGAATCTGTTGCCACTCGCTATCTCCTTCTTCACCTTAGCCATGATCAAAGAGCAACATGTGCTTTAAGACTAGAGACTTTAAATTTATACCAGTTGTTGGTGTGGACAAAACCCTGGTGTTACTAATCACTTAATGAGCAGGATGGGACTCAACAAAGAATCACACAGCTGTGTCCTAAGACTCTTGCATCACCATCAGTTTAACCATGATCACACCTGACGATGATTACACAAGTAATTTGGCTTCTTCTGTGAAGGAGCATGATTGTGTGACATTGACAGTGAAATAGGCCTAGCTTGTTTTTTGTTGGGAAGATGACCTAAATCTCCTTATGATGGCTCTATTCAATGGTTTATAGAGCATAATGATGACTTTGTAGATATTTAATTCATTCTATGTGTATTTTAATGGCCAATTTCACAAAAACCAAACAACAGAAACCTCTTGAATATGCCAAGTGTTCTAATAATTTTGGCCACCACTGTATATGCACTTCAGTGCACTTCAAGTGAAAAGTTATTCAAATAGCACCACCAGCTGGTAAGATAATGAATTGTCAGGTGTAAATCATTTACTCGAAAAGATAGAAAGTGAAACTTAAAGGTCATTTCGACGTTTCACAGAACACAGTAGTCTATTAGCCAATCGCTACACAGTAAGGCAGGAATAGGACAAAGAACAAAAATGTGCTTCCTTTAAGAACAGAACTCAGACGCCATAACAGGGTGAATACTTTCCACTACAAACACAAATCAGAAGAATTGTAATCCCTCATTCAAAGGGACACAGATTTGGTGAGTCTTGCTGTTAAAGGATAATTCACATATCAGAGCAAATGGCTGAGAAAACTGCTCTTTTTGAAAGTTTCCTGAGATGCCATGTGTGTTCAGAGACTTTCAGAGATCCTGTGTCTCTGAGCTGCAACCACAGCTTCTGTTCAAGCTGCCTGCAGAAATTCTGGGAACAAGCTAAAAACAAAAACTGTCCCATTTGTAAAATAAATTCCTTTATTGATTATCCAGTTTTTAATTTTTCACTGAAGGAACTGGCTGACTCCTTTGCTGGGAGACAGAATTTTGGTTCATCTGAGTCAGAAAAAGTATAGTAGAATGAGGAGGTGGTGTGTTTTAAACATCTAGATGTTTCTTTTTTGTTCTGTAAGGATGAAGATAGAGCTGTGTGTCCTGTCTGTGAGTTTTCTCTCCACCAGAGTCACAAGGTGGTTCCTATAGAACAAGCAGTCAGTGAGCTGAAGGACCAGCTGAAATTTGACTTAAAGTTTCTGCAGGACAAGTTGGACAAATACAAACAAGTGGAGGAAACATACAATGAAGTGATTTAACACTCCAAGAAGCAGCTGTTGTCCACAGAGAGGCAGATCAGAGCAGAGTTCAACAAGCTCCAGCAGTTCCTGAAAGAGGAAGAGGAGTCCAGACTGGCAGCTCTGAGGGAGGAAGAGGAGCAGAAGGGGAAGACTCTCAGCAGAGAGATGAAGATGATTGAGGAGCAGATCTCCTCTCTGTCACACAGTATCTGTGCTGTTGAAGAAGAGCTGCAGAAACACAAGGTGCCATTCCTCAGCAGTTATAAAGCCACTCAGAGCAGAGCCAGAGTCCAGTGCTCACTGTCAGATCCACAGCTGGTCTCAGGAGCGCTGATAGATGTGGCCAAACACCTGGGCAACCTGTCCTTCAGAGTCTGGGAGAAGATGAAGGACAAGGTCCACTTCAGTCCTGTCATTCTGGACCCAAACACTGCAAGTCCCCGTCTCTATCTGTCTGATGATCTGACCAGTGTGAGATGTGGAGACAAAGAGCAGCAGCTTCCTGACAATCCAGAGAGACACACTAAGTATGTCACTGTTCTGGGCTCTGAGGGCTTCAGCTCAGGGAAACACAGCTGGGAGGTGGAGGTGGGAGACCATCCTCACTGGCTTGTGGGTTTGGATAAAGAGTCAGCTGACAGGAAGGGAGAACGAATTCATTCACCAAAATATGGAACCTGGTTTTTAATCTATTACAGTGGAAACTACACTAATGGAGGTAAGACTGTCACAGTGAAGAAGAGTCTCCAGAGGATCAGAGTCCAGTTGGACTATGACAGGGGGGAGGTGTCCTTCTACGACCCTGAAGACATGACTCACATCTGCACTCACAGAGACACTTTCACTGAGAAATTCTTCCCATGTTTTAGTATTGGAATGGCTGGTGATGCTAAAACTGCTCATATCAAAATGTGTCACAGTGAGATTTCTCTGTCATGTTCAGGGAGGGTGGTGAGCTCTCAGTAACATATTTGGATGTTTTATAATGGTGGTGTTTTGTTGTCATTTACAGACAATTCCAGTTTGTTCTTTGTGGGTGAGAATCGTGTCAAGAGATTTGATCTCTTTCAGCAAATTACATGATGGAACACATTCCTTGCTTGTTCTTTTATATACAATATATTTCCAAAACTTAAAGCACAAATGTAGGCAGAATTATGTGTGTAGAGGCTGTCAGATATTTGTTGTTACTGAGACATCTTCATGTTCATGATGTGGATAAAAATCACGACTAAATAAAATGTATTCTTCCATCTCTCATTCTTTCCTTTTCTGTTGGTGTTGGAAACAAACTCCACTCACCTGTTCAGTGAAATGTAGAAGTACATACAGGTGGTGAGGGACACTGTGTGCACTAACACTGGTGTGCTGCAGTTTGATATTCCTGTCCTCTGTTAGAAGGTGCAGGTGACCCACTGTGATGCAGAAATGACGATCCACAGTGTTTCCCAACAACACTGTCCAGGACTTTACTCCAGTTTCAGCACAATATGTGTGATATTATCTGGAAATACACGACACAAATAATAAATGAATACCTGTAAGAAAGAATATTGAAACAGTAAAGTTGTGGTGTCTCCACATGAACACACTGTAGAAGAAGTAGAGTGGTGAGTAAATGTACCATTAGCTGTCTTATGCTGCCCTCTGCTGGCTAAACATTGGTGCAGGATAAATATGGGAAAACACTGATTCAATTATCACAATGTGGTGCAAAAGGCAACCTTAAACAAATAATAAGCTAAATATGAACCTGAAATGCTGAATATTCACAGCTCACATTGGTCCAGTATTTAAGAGTATAGACACAAAGTAACACGATCACACACAGACTGAGAAATGTACCATGCCTTGTGCTGCCTTCAGGCCTCCAGTGCTAGCTTCAAATAGTGCTAACTGTTAGCTGGATTCACTTTATGTTTAGCAATAACTGCAATGTTTGGGACAAAACCATACAACCACCTAACTACAACAATGACAGATGCCAACTTACAGTTTGATGCACAAATACACATGTCCACAGACAAAAGAAGCAGCGACCTGTCAGTAGTCAGCTCAACACTGTGGATCCTGCTGCACAGACCAGGTGCAAGATGGTTGAGTCCATTGCTGCCTCTGATAGGGGTGATATGGAATAGTCATCTGGCTTGATTGACCAATATTGTGTTAATCATATAGTATATTTTGGAAGACAAGCCGTGGGCCAGGGGCCTGACTCTGGACATGGGTGTCCTCAGAGGTCATGTGGAGGCAGCCAGTTCAGCAGAGAGGTGTTATAGCCCAGGGTGGATGGGCTCTTCCCAGTGAGAAACTATGATAAAGCGCCCTCTAGAGTGACCTTTCAGTGGAGAGAACATGGCGCAGTACCAAACAGGCTGTCCTACATGCTAAAAAAACTTTCTGAGGGTTGGTGCTCCACCACATGCAGCTGGTGCCCTTTTTATTTCTTTGTTCCTGCCCCTCAGACAGCCTGAGTCCACCACTGCCTCCAGATGACCTGGAGCACAAATAAAATACTTATTTTACAGTACTTTTACTTGTCTTTGGAGAGTACATTGTGATTTA